CCCAACACTTGTGGCCTTATTTCAATAAGGAGGATGAATATACTCATATCTATTATCAAAATATGAGCACCTATAATCACATTACAAATGCACTGAAGCCATATGTATTGAAATTTCTAACAGGTCCTTCTGGCAAAATAATGCTACTCCCTGAAGACAACCCAAGTGCGACACACATCATGATTGCAACTGGTACTGGCGTGGCTCCCTTTAGAGGGTACCTTCGCCGTATGTTTATGGAATCCATCCCGACTTTCAAGTTCAATGGCCTTGCTTGGCTCTTCCTTGGGGTGGCCAACAATGATAGTCTTCTGTATGATAAAGAGTTCACGAAATATCTCCAGGATTATCCAGACAATTTCAGGTACGAACGTGCTCTTAGTCGAGAGCAGAATAACAAGAGAGGGGGGAAGATGTATGTTCAGGACAAAATTGAAGAATACAGTGATGAGATCTTCGAACTGCTGGATGAAGGGGCACACATATATTTCTGTGGGCTGAAGGGAATGATGCCTGGAATTCAGGACACATTGAAGCGTGTGGCAGAGGATAGAGGGGAGACCTGGGAATCGAAGCTTTCACAGCTCAAAAGGAACAAGCAGTGGCATGTTGAGGTCTACTGATGATTATTTGAACTATATAACACATTCATTCCAGAGAATCGAGTCCAGAGGGAATCACCTGTTCTCAATAGGATTACTGCTTGTGGTGTCAAAAGTGAGTTTCGTTGTTATTTGACTTGATTCAGCACACTGTGTGCACCCTTTGGCGTTCAATGTTCCTGTAGATGAAAATTTCTTAGGTATGTGGTGTTTGCCGACATGTGCTAATAATAGTGGGTTGCATCATTTCAATCACGCCCTTTGAAGTTTTCTGAAAATGAATAGTTTTCTTTTCTTATTCTTTCATATTCACACAAACATATGTTTATATACACAATACGTAGGGTTAGTTTCCTTCTAAATCAAGTCTACTGGGCCTTTTTAAACATACATGGACACGAGCAAATATTAAAGATTTCAAAAAAGTTGGAAATAGTAATGAAGCAGGGACTGAAATCTCAGAAAAAATCTTGCTGAGATTGATATTCTACACCCTCTCAAGTTATGTTCTCCAAGCTGAGGTCTGCACTTAGCTCACTTGGGTTAGATCGAAGTAAGGCTTTGGTCTGCAATTTGTTGTTTTGATGGAAATAATTGAGTATGATTGTCTCATTGGTAATCTTCTAACTGATGAAGCAGAGTTCATGGTGAGTAGGGGGCTCTTAATAATTGCATTTGCAGCTTAGTTGTCTCCCAAGAGTTTTGATAGAATTTATTACTCTCCCGATCTTGAATGCAATTAGCACCCTTTTAAGCCAAGTTCCTTCACAGATATCTCAAGCTAAATAGCTAATTAGCCAAGGCTCAAATTTACTGCTCCATTGCAAGCAAAAAAAAAAAAAATAGTCATTCAAAGGCATCAACACCTAACGTTGTTTGTTTTTTCTTTTTACCTATAATTTTGTTATTGGGTGGCAATACATGGTAGAGCCGTAGAGTGATATTTGAACAACACATAACAGACATTACCCCATGTATGATAGACATATTTGAGCGTGACCAGCGCATCCAATGGCCTAATCAGAGTAAACTGGACTGAGAGTCTGAGATAGTAATGATCTTTTTGAGTAAATTTTTTCACGAAATTTTATATAATAAATTAATAATGTTCGGATGTTTTTTTAAACTAGGGGTGAACATAGTGGCTTGCCACCTCTCTCCCACTAGCCGCATGCCCGAGTGCACCGACATCGCTAGTTGCTTGCATTGGCAATAAGCCCGATCGAGTAGATAGAAGATCCAGCAGCCATTCCTGAATTAATTAAGTTTCAAGAACTTCTTCAAAGGATATTAACCCTTCCAACACAATGAACGGCAAAAACCACATTCACTTCTTATAACCCGCATCAAGTATATATGATTCCAATTGCATCTTCATCTTCTCAACTTATCATCGTTGGTATCGGAGGAGTTCATTTACCCATATATCAAATATGGCTACAAGTATATCAACACGGAGTCACGGACCAACTGATCTTTTTTAGGAGTGACCTCAAAACTACTAAGTTACTAATAAAGTTAATAAAAATAAATACATGCCACCCTCTCTACCGAAAGTGTTATCAAATTTGTTTAAATCTATATGCCAAACTAACTATTAGAAGAAATAAATGATGATAATTGTGTTCTGCTCGTTTTGAAAACTTTGCAAAATTGCTTCATTTTCAACAGTTGCAAAAACTCCTCAATATATATGGTCAAACTATCATTCGACCCAGGGGCGGAACCAGGGGGTGCGAGCCGGTGCTGGCGCCACCCCTTGGCCGGAAGAGTCAAGCTGTATATATATGGTTATTCGCCAGTGCCCCTTTTCTCTGAAACCTTTATCTTCAGAAAATCGCCGGCGCCCAGATTTGCTTCCTTGTGAAGCCTGATTTGTGTTCTAAATATTCAATAAGTGAAACGGTGTCGTTCGTTTAAGTAAAACAGCAAACTACAGTAAAATGAAACGACATCATATCTAGTGTAAACGACATCGAATTGTATAGATAATGATTACTCACTAATACTAATACGGAGCAAAACAATGGAAATTTCCTTCCTCGGTCAGTGGAAATTTGTTCAATTGTTCAGCCGAAAAACTGAAGAGGCGGAAGTTAATCCTTTGAAATTACACCGACCGCCTGTGTGGTTGTTGGTGCGATTTTATCACTGGAAGTTTTACTTTTGCTTTTATAGTTTTAATATTTTTTTTATTCTTTTACTTTATTATGTAATTCAACAATTTTATAATTGTGCATAGTTGACTACTGAGTGAATTAGTAGTATTGCACTCCATAGTAAATTAGTGATGTGTACGGCATATTTGTATCTATTATATGTGAATGAGAACATTACCTGAAATAGGATTAAAAAAATTGAATATTCCAAAATAGAACGGTCACGTGTTTATTCCCAAAATAGGACTAATTACTGCCATGTTTTGGCAGTACCAGACTTCAAACATTGCAGTATTTTCCAAACTTGGCAGTGATTACTCCTATTTTTTAAATAAAAACATGCATGACAATCTCATTTTGGAATTTTCAAACTGTTTTAGTCCTATTTCGGGAACTTCCTCTATGTGAATTAGAATATATGATTAAGTTAGGCTTAAACATCTTGTTCAGAAATGACAAGTTTATGTATATAATAATTAAATTAGGTAACTACAATATATTTTGAGAGATGTGTATGATGAAAATAATGAGGTCAATGATGATATATGTGATGTTATATGTGTATTATTTTAATATTTGATTATTAATTTATCATTTGAGAGTGCTAATTACTTCTAAAATAAAAATGAGAAGTTTTACTTTGAATGTTAGAGAAAAAAACTTAAGCAGTAACGAAAGATAGAGGACATATAATTTATCTTTTTATATATACTTCGTACTAGTGACTAAACATAAATTCAGGCTACGAAGTTTCATATATGAAATTAACTAATTACTACATGAATTTATTGTTGTATAATTCTTTAGGTGGTTTCATATTCTTTTTCAGCACCCTCTTACAAAACGTTCTGGTGCAATATGCAAATTTGTACCCCGCATGTGCATGAAATTTACTGTTTATAAATACTTGTTATATTGTACTTTATGAAATATGCGGAGCTAGTAGTATATTCAAAATGGTGGTAGGTTGCAGCAATTACTATAATCTACTTTATATACACACTCATATTTGTATTGTATAGTAAATGAATTGATGGTGGTAGGCTGCAACGGTTGCTATAAGTTGAAGTAGGCATGATGATTCCAGGGGATCTTGGCTGTGATACAGTGAAGATCTTCTCTTATAAATTATAATAAAAAAAACAAGTTCAACTAAAAAGGCCTACTTTAAAATTTATGTGGGGTTTTTTCTTCTTTTCTTTTTTCATTTGCTCCACTTTTTGTCTTGTTGAGGACTTTCCACATGTGGTTCTACAGAAGCATGAAAAGGATTCAAGCGCACGCCCTTCTGAAAAGCAAGAGACAGAGATGCAGAACGAAAGGCCAATACAACAAAAACTAATGCGGAAGATACAAGTAATTTAGAGAATCACCATTAGATCACATTACTGTCGCAAATTCTACTTTAAATCGTCTCACTCACATTTATCTCGCCGCCCCTTTTTTAAAAAATTATTTAGTTTTCTTTTTAGGACAATTTCATGAAATACGAGTAATCAATTTTGAAATTCCCAAATATGATTGCTATGTATTTTTTTGAAATAGAAGTAACATAACAATATTTACTATCGTTTATGTTAAGACACGGGATTTCATCCTAAAAGGTCAACCTGATAGGAGGAGTAATCTATGTGTTAATATGACACTTTGTTCATCTAAACTTTTCCGGTGCGGGACATTTAATACTCCTCCTCATGACCAGACACTTTGTCTAGATCGTGTCATCATTCATTTTTTTCATCGGTCTGTTTTTTTTCATCCGGCTGTTTTATAATCACGTCATCATTTTTCATAAGGGGCCCCACACCAGGCTCTGATATCATGTTAAGACACGTGGTTCCATCTTAAAAGGTCGACCTGATAGGAGGAGTAACCCATGTGTTAATATGACACTTTGTTCATCCAAACTTTTCCGGTGCGGGACATTTAACAATTTATGAGTCATTACGATCAAATAATTGTAATACTAGGCATTAGCATGAATACGTTATTAATGACAATATTGTTCAATTATGGCAATATAGACTTATTTAGCAAGAAAAATATATCAGTCCTATTTCGAATTCCAAAAACATATTTACTCTTATTTAGAGCAATTTTCTTTCTATTTTCCAATCATTCCTAAATTATTGACCATTTTGCTTTTCAATTTTTCTATTGTTACACACTTTCTCTACACACACATACACACTATAAATACCTAAAAAAAAAAATTACCCCCTTTCCATCCCTTTCACACGTGCGATACTTCCTCCCGATTTTCAATTTTCGCGCATCCCCCCTTCTCCATTCCTTCGAACTGCCCAATCTCCCCCCTTCTTCCTCCGATCAATTTTGCTTCGTCCTTGCGTTGCTGGAACGTCTTCGAACTGCCCAACCTTCCCCGTCGCTGGCCGTCGCTGCCCAACCTTCGAACTGCCCAACCTCCCGACGAAGCCAACTGTCGTCCCTAGCAACCCCGAAGACTAGCCTCGTTCCCTGCAACCCCCGTCGAAGGCATCCTGCCAACCCTCCGTCGAACGCCAGACTCCTCCACGCCAGCCCCCGTCAAAGGCGACCTTAATCGCTGCACATACAAGGTCCGAATCCTCCTCCCCCTCTGAGTCGAAAATGGTGCGAACTCCTCTTGCAACCGTGGCCGAAAGGTATGTATCCTCTAATTTTTTTACAATTTTAGGCTATTTGATGATATTAATTTGGAGGGTGAAGCAAAATATCTCTGTTTGTGAAGTTTTGGAACCCATCTATTGCTTGGATTTTGAACAATAACTATTGTCTGTGTAAGGGGAATTTTATGCCTGTTGAAGGACATATGTATTGTCTGTGAAGATCGATTTGTCAAAGTATTTGTCTGTGTGAACTTATATGTAAAAGGATGTGCCTCCATTTGTCCGTGAAGACTTATATGATTGTCTGTATGGCTCTGTATATGTCTGTGGGGACTTTATTGTGCCTGAATGCAAGACAATAAAACAGTTCTAAAGTATAACTCTTGTGTAAAATTTGCTCTGTTCTTCATTTTGATGTGCCAATTAATCCTCCATAAGTTTCTTACTCTTTTTCACTTAATTGAGTAATACTAATATTTCTAAACAAGGACTAGTAGAAACTACAGTTGATTAAATTACCAAATTTGGAACAATCATCATTTTGAAGCATTAAAACACAATGAATAGTCAATATATTTCACTATGTCCACTCGTGATTTTGTTAGATTCACTTATTCTAATAACTGCTTCATGTCACCAGGCAGTAAAATGAATAAACATAGATAAATCATCAATCATTAATATAATGTTAAATGAAATAGGTTCAGACAATATCTTCCTTGAAAGATAGTTCTTAAAATTCAATTCACTTATTAAAATATAATTAAAACACACTGAGTCTACTTATTTTCAACATAAAGTTAAACAAAAGTTTTTTTACATATGTCTGTGTGACTGATTGTGTGTCTGTTTATAACTGAATGTTTGTCTGTGTGGTTTAACATATGTCTGTGTGCTTATGGTTTGTTTTGTTACACTCATAGGGCACTTGAACTCCAGATCCCATTGAGCAAGCATTTCCCTGCGCAGTACTCTATGTGCTCGGATGTCAAACATGTTTCCAAGTACGTGAAGGACATGCTTTCCAAACAACAAATGGCACAGTTTCGGAAGACACCATGGGGTCATTTTGCTGACATACCTGATATTCAGTTTTGTGCCCAAATCGTGCACATGTTGTTGTTACGTATGGTCAAGCAACAACCCAAAGATGAGCTCTGGTTCAACATAGTGGGCAAAATAGAAGAATTCACATACAACGATTTCTGCCGCATCACAGGCTTACCTCCGGCAGCCCCCAGGCCTGCCGTTGCCGAAGATACTGAAAAAGATGATGAAGACGCTGAAGATGAGGAAGAACCTGGGGAGATTTCGAAGACCTACTTTGGTGGATCACTGGATATCACTTTCCAGATGATGAAGGACAAGGTTGATGAAGTACGGGGAGGTAAAAAAAGGAAAGGTGACCTACCAGTGAAGCTTGCATCCCTCTTTGTAGTTGAGAATGTACTGTTGGGAAAAGATAGGACAACTCGGATCAGCCGGAAGTCTATTCAGCTTGTGAATGACTTTGAAGAGTTCAAGAAGGAGCCCTGGTCGAGAGATGCATATGATTTGCTTGTCACACATGTCAAACGTCTTCTTGATGGGCATCCAATGAAGTTTGTTGACAGTAAAACTAACAACCCTGAGTACAAAAATGCCAAGTTTTCCATCTACGGGTTCATATTGGTCTTACAGGTATGATCGCCATTTTATTAAGTTTGATTTTGTATTTTATCCGTCCCAGACATATTTTTCAATGGTCACAAACACTCTGTGTACTTCCCAGACAGAGTTTTAAATGCTCACAAACATACATCTGCTCTATATGTTTTATATTTTCACAATGCTCTATACTTCCCATAATATAAATTTCTTCACTAAACGTCGTATTTAGGTGTGGGCATATGAAAGAATTCCAAAATTTGGGGAACACTTTGGCACACGTGTTGGGAATGATGAAGTCCCAATACTAAATTGGACATGTCATGGCAAATTCCGGTCATCTAAGATACGGAAACTAGTCTTTGCTGATGTAAGTCTTCTTACTTTATCATTCCTAGTTTATCATTATAATTGTCCACTAATATATATATATTTATAATATGAAATCATGTTCATGTTTTCGTAGGAGGTGCCTACACCCCCTAATTCTGATGATGAAGACGAAGGTGAACATGACAATATTGAACTTGAAACAAAGGAAAAGGTTGAAGAAATGTGTTCAAATATTGATGAGATAAAAATCAGTGTTCAAAGGTTGGAAAAAAAAGTGGACGAGGAGCTTGGTGAACTGAAAAACTTACTGGTTAAGGTTATTGATACAGTCAACAAGGCTTTACAGGAAAAGGTTTAAACATCACTTGTCTGTGCAATGATTTGCTTTGTCTGTATTTAGTACATTTTTGTTTGTATGTAGTCTAAATATATACAAAAAAACTATACAAAAACAGACATTACAAAAAAACATTTCTGAAACACAAAAAAAATTGCACACAAACACGTATTTTGTTTGTGAAGACCAAGATGTATGTTTGTGACGTATTACATAAATGTCTGTGAACAATCAGGCATGCACATTTACATCAAGGTAAGATTTAAATCTAAACCACTGTAGTTCATCATGTCATTACGATCTTCCCGTGCATTGCCATGGTCAGCGATACCTTGTGGGGCAATCCCAATGTCGTTCCTAGCCCCCGATTTCTTTTTCCCCTTCTCCAATGGTCCTTTTTGACGGTTTTTCCTCGGAGCACCCTTGCGCTTTACACACTTAGGATCTCCTATGTTTTTTGAAACCTCACATTGCACATGACTACTCGGTTGTGGGATAGATGTTAGGTTGCCACATATGGAAGACCGAGGAGCTTGGGGAGGAGTATATGTCGATAATTGAGTCTCCAACCAATTAAGAACACTTTGGTACTTCTCTTCATCATCCGCAATCATATTTGCAAGTGATTCAAAAGTCGTGCACAACTTATTAAATCGTTGTTGTTCCACCGTTGTGATCCACCCATCATAATTTATTTTCACCTTTGTGTAAGCTCTTTTAACATCTTTCCTCCATCTTTGCAATAGGTAAATCTCGGGTAAGAAATCCAATCCAAGCCGACGTAAGACCACAATCAAGTGTCTACATACAATACCCCTAAATTCAAATAAATGACAACTACATATTCCAAACGTAGTTAACGGGTCATATTCAACAACAAAGTCAATGGTCTTTCGAAACCCATTTATCTTTCGGACCTCCTTAACATGAAATTTTCTATCTCCATCGCTTTGTATTAGATCACAATACAAAAGACCTACAAGTTCATCTTGAAACTCCTTGAACTTAGCTAGGGTGTAAATTTCTTGGACTTGTTCTTCCATTTCATATGATGAAACACAAGGAATTGTTTTTGCAAACGAACTCGCATCGGCGTGAAATTCTTTTTCTACCTTTTTCCGTAATGCACGTCCGTATTGCTCAACGAATTCCTTAAGACTAGTTTTGGAATGCACAAAGTCATCGAAAAAAGCATTGATACTTTCACTTCGTTGAGTGGTAGACATACCCGCCCAGAAAAATGTCTTTAAGAAGCATGGAACCCACCGGTGTCTTTCGTTGTACATGACTACAAGCCATTCATGATCTTGCAGGGAATACCTGAAATAACATTAAAAATATATATGAAGTAAAGATACAATGTTTGCTCACAGACAATTTTGTGTCTGTGGTGTACATTTTGTATGCCTGTGAAGAACACATATATTTATTTCACAGACAAAAACCTTCTGGAATGGGTCATAGTTAAAAGGAAATAATGGGTACCTTTGTATCATGTCATTCCAACTTTGCTCAAATTGTGGAATATATTGCGAGTCATAAATGGATTCATGAATAGCATCCAAGATTTCTTTTTTTCTGTAATGCCTCCCATTTTTTCCGGTACCTTTTTCATAATATGCCATAGGCACCATCGGTGTCTTGTATTTGGAAAAACAATTTGGATGGCGTTTTGCATTGCACGGTCTTGATCCGTAATAATGCCCATCGGAGCACGGCCTTCCATACACTCAAGCCATGCGGTGAATAGCCATACGAATGTTTGCGTATCTTCATTAGAGATTAATCCGCAACCTAGCAAACTTGATTGTCCGTGGTGATTTACACCTACAAATGGTGCAAAAGGCATGTCATACCGATTCGTGAGGTAGGTTGTGTCAAAGGTGATCACATCTCCAAAGTCTTTGTATGCATATCTACATCGACTGTCGGCCCAAAACACATTACGCAATCGGGACTCGTCATCTAAGTCAAGGACATAGAAAAATCCTGGGCTTTGAGCTTGCATTTTAGAAAAAAACTCTTGAAGTGCCATGGCATCACCACTCCCTAACCTAAGTTGTCTTACCTTTTCAATGTAGTTCCTACAATCTTTTTCAATAAAAGGAAGTTGGTCATACCCACCGGCTTCAACAACGGCTGCATTGAAAGTTTTATGAAGTCGTATTCCGGCCACATCGTTGATTGCAACTTGCCTCATTGCTTGGGGAGTCAAAGTCCGATAGCACCGGAATAGGCGAGCCTTAGTTGGACTCATGGGATGGTTATGCTCAAGACAGATTTTTGAAATTTCCCAAAGTCCCTCATAATTTGTGCGTGCTCGTATTTTTGCTCCACATCCCATTTGCATTGAAGGTTGAGGCTTCAATTGATTTTTTGACCTAGTAGATCTGCTACCGGCATGAGAGCACTCTAGTAATACTCCAACCATATCTACTCCATTTTTGTGTTTCGTGGTACTCCTAGTTCTTACGGGAAATCCTAAACGCTTCCCATATGCCTTGTAGAAATCATACACCGCTTCTTTGCTATCAAATTGCATACCGACATCCGGAGCTTGTATAGAACCATCATCACTCTCATTTTGCTTAATTGCTCCATCTGATCGACATTCACGTAATTCAACGATTAAACAATGTGTCCATGTCAACATGCAATGAGGTAAGTATATTTAAGCACACAGGCAGAGGTATATTAATGCACAGACAGAAGCATATACACACACAAACAAAGGAATATTGATACACAGACATTACAAACAGAAATGTACTTACGCAGTGGTATATTTCCGCACAGACATAAGTATGTTTACTCACAGACAAAAGTATATATGTACACAGACATTTAAACTCAATGTACACAGACATAATGAAACTTATATTATTTTGAACACAGAATTTATACACTTTACGCACAGACATAAGTATATTTACTAACAGACAATTTATATACACTACACAAACACAAATAATTGTCTGTGAAGAACAAACATATATTTAAGTTCAAAGCCAATGAAACCAACACCACAAACTCATACCAAGCTCAGGGACGTCGTCCATGGCCGGTTCTCCGTCAAGTTCAGCCGCCGAATCTGGTTGTCCATCACGTTCAGCCATGGCCGCCGCCGGTTCTCGCTTACCTTCATCCTCACGTCGACAACCACCGTTTGCTTCAGCCCAATCAGCCCAAAAATCGTCCACCGTAGTATCAATGATAGTTTCAGTCACAAAGCCAGGAAATTCCATTTTTGTAAGGTTTGTTCTGCTGAGGGAAATAAAAAACGTCGAACAGGGGAGGGATGGAAGGAGCTGCGGGAATAGAGGGGAGGGGAGGGAAAGAAATCGCACGTGGGGGAGGGGTAAAAAAAATGTAATTTTTGGGCCTATTTATAGTGTGTAGGTGTGTGTACCAAATGGTGTACCCCAAGCCCAATTGTTTGCTTTTAGGGTATGTTTGCGATTTTGAGGTAAAAGGGGGAAGACTTTGAAGAATAGTCGTATGACAGGAAAGAAAGGGTGGAGAAATCATTTTTCTTGTTTGGAAGTTACGAATATATAAAGAGAGAGTCAGTGATGATTTATTATTAAAATTTATAGGGTACTATGAATTTAAATAGTTGAAATTGCATTCGTTTTAAATTGACCTAAAATTGTTATTTACGTGGTATATAATTATCCTTAAAAGATTTATTTTTTAGAAATTTGAAATTAAGCATTTGAAAGATTTTGAAATATTACAAAAAGACTCCAAACCATTTCTCCCATTTTTTAAACTCTCAGCGTAAAAAATGGAGGATCATAAACCTCCCCATCCTTTCTCTCCCCTCCAAAATTTAACTCTGAAGCATACCATTAACCAGAAACCATGTGTGATTGACAATATTTTTCAAATTTCATTCTAGTAATAAGCAAATCCTGGTTTGATAATTTTCATTTTTATTAAATATATAATTGTCTAACCAAAATAGATGATAATTTAACGACGCAGAAAGTACCAAACTTAAAAATGATTCATTAGATAAATTATGTGTTTAAAATAATACTTATTTTTAAAATGAAGACTTTTCCGATTCAGATGCTAGAAAGTATGTTAGATATCCACCAAGAACTTGAAAGATAAAATTTAAACAAATTGCCCTAAATAGAAAAAATGTTTGTGTATTCCAAAATATGATTATTATGTTTTTATTACCTAAATATGAGTACTTAGTGTCATGTTTTGGCAGTACCAACTTTAAACTTACAGTATTTTTCAACTTTGACAATAATTAGTCATATTTAGGGTATAAAAATATGACAGTCCTATAATTAAAAACTCAATATTTAAACCTTTAATTGTTGTTTTTTCCGAGCTCTACTTTTCAATGATGTTTTCTTCGCAATGTTATGTAATAAAATTAAATAAGAATAAATTATTTTAAATAAGAAAATAAAAAATATGGATATTTTAATGTTATATTAGGAGCCCGTTGGAAGCATGAAAATCGGCTGCTTTGACTGATTCTGCTGAAATTTATGAAGTTTTGGTTGGAATGGCTGCATTGGCTGATTCTGCTGATTTAAGAAAAAATTATTTTTAAAATATATTTTATTAATAAAATAAAGAAAAAATTATATGTAAAAATAGCTAAAATGGTCATCCTATAGCAACTTCAGTCAATACAGCTAGAAAAGTAACTTCAACCTTACTTTTTCTGCTTATTGCACAATCCAGCGCGTGAAAACAAAAATTACGTGCTTGGAAAAAAAGTTGTCTGATAAGCCTGATAAGTCGAAAAACATTGTTGCCAAACGACCTCTAATATGTAGTAGTTGTCAACCATTCGGTCTCATATCAACTATCTCTCGGTACTTCGTTAAGTCGTTTCAAAATTTTGGTTCAAAAATTTGGTCTATTAAATTAAAAAATACGAGTAACTTTTAAAACATGACAAATAGCTATAATGTGTAACTTTGCAAGCTACTCACAATTCATTGCTCAATCGGTATTTAATTGGGAAAAAAATTGACTCGAGCT